ACACAGGAATTTTTGGGGTATCACATATAAATATAGCCACACACTTGTAACGCAAGACTCGTGTACAAAGTTTAGGTTTAACTGGAAGGTTAGTGAACACAATGTTTTTTTTTGCTTCCACAAGATGCAAGTGTAAGCATATAAAACATTTACAATAAATGTACAGACTATATGTATGATGCAAAAATCTGTAGAACAAATGAATGCAGCTAAAGGTTCAAGTCACTGTGAACAGAATGTTCACAACTTTTGCTCATGTGAAATAACTTTAACTTCCAAAATATTAGCATGTATGATTCCATAACTGCAAAAAGTTAAAAAGCTCACATAAAGGTCTCATTTAAAAAAAATATATACATATACATGTATGTTTTTGATAATTTCTTGTGGTTTATTTGTATAGAGAGCTGGGCAGTAAGTGAAATTTGTTAACTGACAAATCATCGGGCCCATTAACTGATTACATTCAACAAAATGATTTTCTCATGAGAAGGACAGAAAAACTACTAAAATAAACAGTGATTATTTTCCCATGGATTGACTAAAAAAAACTTATCACTACAAACTACCCACAAGAGATTGCGTAGCTTTGTGCTTAACAAGAAACATAATAACAATATTTAAATTACATGCATAACTAAAATAATTTAAAATAGAAATAATCAGAAACACTAATTTCAATTAGTTGATTCTTTTTGTGACAATCAATTTAATCATAAATTTGATTACTTGATAACTGGAAAAATCAAAATTGGTAATAATTAAAGACAATAATTTAGATAAGTTGTTTATTTTCATGATATTTATTAATCAATTATTTTACATGACACTAATTAATGTAGTCAACGCTTACAGATAATCAATTATATCAATTCACTGAATTAATCACCAAATAGACCACTAGAGAAGTTTTGGAAGTTTCAAAACTGTGACTATGTTTTTATATGGCATGACAAATAAAAGACTTTGGCTTCATTGGTCTAACTTGATGTACAAACGGGAAGATTTTGATGATGGAAACTAAACCTTCAAATTTCCAGACACACAATATATTTTAACAATATACAATGTAGTTATTATGTGCACAATATATGATAAAACAATATATAAACTTCCAAATTTAGCCACCAGATATTCCAACAATATCATTGAACTTGGTGATGTTGTAAGAATTAAGAAAATTCCATCTGTATTCATTCCATTCATTGAATGGGTTCCTAACTGATAATAAGAAAATAATCACTTGTACTGTCACCCAGTATAAGGCTTGTGACAATATGGATCAGTGTGATGCAACTGCTCGTGAGAAGGAAACATGTATGATAATGCTAGTATCTTCCAGATACCTCATGGTCATAACAAGATATTTTTATGGAACAGATGAAGTCACATGAATATGGTATGTCACACTGCGAGTATATTCACATTATAGTTGTGTGCAGCATAAAAGTTCTCATAGCCACCACTGTATTCAAATATTACAAAAGAAAAGACATTTATAATATTATAATATATATAATATTATGTGGTTATGTTTCAATCTTATAACAATACTAGGTTATTATTGCTATTTGTCAGTATGAACTTATCTGATACCAGTACCTTTTTTTATGCTTTCAAGTTTCTGTAGCTTCAGATTTAATGAGTTGTAAATTATCCCCGTAACTACTTTTACAAAAGATATGTCAATGAAAAGTTATGAATATTATAATATAATGTTGGAGGTGTCTTCTTCAGTTCTAATTCTTCTGATATATGCAACATTTAACTTATATCACTGTAATAGTTGTTTTAATGAAATATAGTAAAACACCAATTACATTGGTGTAAGTTCAATGTTGCCCATATCAGAGTTAAAATAACTTAAACTCAAGAAGACACCTCTTACATTACCTAATGATTTCACATATATACTTATCAGAGAAATGTTAATTACCTTTTCTTATTTTATCACTTTAGATTTAAAAGGAACTTAAACTTTAAAGCTACCAACAAAAATATCTATAAACATTTAGAAACAATTTTTAGTGATAAGCAATCTTCAGTAAAGAGAAGTTTTTCATATTGAAAAGAAGTTGAAAACATTATCTTAACCTACCTGTAATATAAAAATTTTGAAAACATGTTTTTATTTTGAAGGTTACATCGGCTTTTGTTTTTTCTCATCATTGCCTTTTCCTATCAGAAACAAACACTGTATGAATCTTTCAGCAAATTCCTGTTTATATTAAATATATACCATTATGTATGTCTATCACATCAACTCATTCAAAATAAACATGAATTTTTTCCTCTTGTAAGAACTATTATTAAATGAGCATATCTTTATAACTTTTTTATTTCTAACCAAGTTTTCTTATTGAAACAAAATATTTTAGACTCAAACCTAAAACTATTAATAATAACTTTTCTAAATCAATCTTTCAATTTAATATTAAAAATCCGAACTCACATATCTGTAGAAGCTAAATACTATAGATTATATTACATGTGATTAAGTTTGGTGAACAAAAATAAAGTGGGAATACAAAAAATATTTACCCATTACTATTTTCATTATCATTTTGAAAGTTGAAAAGTTACATGCAGTCTATTTTGCAATAATTTTACATCAATTTTTCTTTCTAGACAACAGTAAAAAGAAAAAGATACAACTTCTCAATAAACTTAATAATTTGCAAACTTTTAGCTGTACTTACAGACATTTTAATAAATAAGATAAAAACAAACCTTTTCTTGCAGAGACTGAAGGATGTGCTCATAGTAAAATTTTCTTAACCATTCCCATTGCTTCTGCAAAAATATATAGAATATATTACAAATATACTAAAACCTCCAAAAACATAAATGTAATTTTACACAATATTCTGGGAAATTATATTTAAAAAGTTTTTGCACAGGAACTAACACAGGAATTAGGTGTTTTAAACTTGTATGGTTTACTTCTTTTATTTAATTAAATGTCATATCCATTCTCATCTATCACGAATCCATAAAAAGACAACCCAAGTACGTGCACTTTAGAAGAGTGTTTACTTTCACTGCCCATTCAATAAATGTCAATTGTACATCTTCCCACAAATACAATAAATTCTTTACCCTTTACTGGCCCATAAAATTTGAGATGTTATTACATTCTTTTTACTGGAAACCCACTAAATATATATGTGATCAGTAAAGACTTGTTTAAAATATATTGTGATGATATGTCACATAAACCATCCATTTATAGATCACTCTTTGCTACCATAAGGCATTAAGTACCAAGATAATTGACAGCTTATAAATGATCGATATAAAGAGCATTTCAACTGAGACTTTGTATGTTGCATGTTGAACTAACCTGATAAGCTTTTGTGTTGAGCAAAAGGCATCATTGACAGTAGTATGCAATCAAGATATGTTCTTTCTGGAAACCAGTATAAGGCCAGTTTCATACTTGAAATAGCTACTGATTTTAAACCTTCTTTAAATTCTAATCCCATAAATATTGAGATAATTTTTCTAAACTTCTCTACCATATCTGCAAGTAATTAAACACCTGTGTTGATTAGATGCCAGAAGGAAATAAACATGTGATAACCATTTAACACAGATAAAGATTACATACAGTAAATATTGTTTTTAATTCTCACACTAGCATGGATGCATTTCTGTATATACTTTAGGAAAGTAGCCTATTCAAACAGGTAATACAAAAACCTGTTCATTACACTTTCAAAATAAGCTCATCAGTACTAGACTATTTATTTAATTCCAGATTCAAGTTTTTGATTCATAAAGAATAGTCATTTATTGGCAGTCCTAATGATATTAAATTAGTTACTGTAATGTCACTACAATCTAGCACATGCTTAAAAATGTTCGATAATTCTGCATACTTTGGTAAACTGTGCTCCTTTGTTCTATCCACTGGTCTTCTTGTAATGGTTGAAAAAAGAGAGTTAATTTTGATCATGATAAAGTAATTGCTAGTTTTGATGAAGAATCACTATTTACTAACATGTCATTGAATAAGACCACTGAATTATGTGTAAACTGGGAGTTATAATAACATAGATGATTTTAATGGTTTACCCAAAGAAGTTTTTCATAAATTATGTGAAATATTAACATAAGAACTGCATTTCTTGTAAATATGTGATCAATCAAACGGATGGAGTTACAAAAATGTCCTAAAGAATTTAAACCAAAAGTGTATAACAGATACGTGGATGATACTTTAACTGTATTTGAGAATCAACAACAGGTGGATAAAATTCTTGATTATTTAAAAAGTAATAAAAAATTTTGCATTATATAAATAGTCAAATCTTTCCAAGAATAACTTTTATCTACAACTAAATACTGAATTCTGTCACTGTCTGTTGCAGATTTGAATAAAAGCATTTAAACAGAATAGTGCTATACAGTCTTACAGTAGCTAATAACCATAAGCTTGTAAGATTGACTCAGTACTTACTGGCTACTTACATAGGGATTTGTGTATGGTTTTGTGTATCCATCCCTACCTTGTTTCTGTACTTTTTGGTATTGCCATCTCTAAATCATACTTAATTTTTCCCAATTTTTTGTTATTATTTGTTCCCAATCTCTTTTTTTAAACAATTTTATTGAAGTAATTTGATATTTGAACATTTGTTCAATTTTTATAATTGAATGGTAATATATATATCATTAATATCATATCAGTTTTGTCACTTTATCTAATGTTGGATTACACTTGGGCCAGTGAAGCTGGAATGGTTCCTCCAGGGTGCTGTACTGATGTTACAGGGATATTTACAGAACTCACGCCTTCCAACTTTACTCCAACTCATTGCATGTGCATACAATCAACCCCACCATATGCTAGTGTCATGTAGATTAATAGGGAGGACACCATACAGATCCCAGGCCATGAAGTATGATACCAAGCATACACACATAGCTGCCAGGCTTGGCCCTACTGAAAATTTAAAGAAACCTAGATTGCTATATAATGTATTGTTTTGATAATTAAGAAACTGGTTTTTTTTAACTCTGACATCAATAACTGGTACACAGATCTGTCAGTTGCATAAATACTTGATCTCCTTGATATCTTGAATATTAATTTAGATTATTGTTTATTTATTTTTGCTGAAATTGTTTTGGCAGATATCATGTTCGTGCAAATCCCACACAATCCAATCATGATAGGTATTTAGGTTTAATAACCCAGGGGTGGTCAGAAATTAAAGTTATTTCTCTTCACTCCTTTCTTGGTTTGTTGATAATTTTAGTGGTTGTTATAATAACAGCTATGGCTTCCGTGGAGTTTTGGTTATGCTTAGATGACTTGCCGTGGTCAAGAGAGGAGAAAGGCTGTGAAGAAGACCAGAAGAGCATTCACAAACATTCACAAAGTATGTGCTGCAATCTAGCAACCAGAATTGAAACTATTATAAACCAAACTCACTGTTAAGTAGAAGTTTTCCTATTTATTATTTCTCCTCAAAAATGTGTGGTAGAAGAACAGAAAAATATTACTGTTATACAAGCTGTAAAACACTTGATAATGGCAATTAGGTGCTCACATAAAGCTATAACTCAATGTTAGCAGTTACACTGGACAACAAAAAATTTGCTACTGGAGAAAATTCAAGTAATTTGGGGTAATTTGACAGTACTAATTTCAGCAATGTAGTTAGAATTTGCCCATCGCCTCTAGATTTTGAGTTATTGCAATATCTTAGTAATTTATCAGCACTATATAAAATACCATGCACTCAACTCAGTACAATAGATTTATGCTGTGAAATTAAATTTACTTGGACGGTTTAAAAGGCCATACATACATACATATTGGATAACTTCAAACATTGACTGTATTGTATTGGTGTAAACTTCCAAATATATTGTCCATACATGCTATTTGTTCTCAATATAATTGTAGCAAATTGCATCACCTTTTGCTTCATTCTCACACCCACCTGCTCCACCCGAGAATCATGAAACCCTCATATGCTCAGTTTGCTAAAACATTCTAGAAATCCCTTGACTAAGCATAAAAAGGGCAGAGTCAGATGCTCTCTCTCAATTGCCTCTCACTCAGTCAGTTGGTCACTCTTGGGTCTACCAGTGCACTAACCAGATCAGCTACATATAAGTTGAAAAGGACAGATCTTGGTGAGGATCATTGTGACAAGCCAGAGCCAATTTTAAAAAGTTCAAGTTTCCACTTACATAATTTTGACTGGCAGCATCTGGTGTCTGAAATAGTCAAAATTCATCATATGAAATTGTCCAAAACTTCCAGAGCCAATAGCTTGATTGCCAAAATGTTATTATCCACTCCTTATAGGCATTTTCAAGATCAAATATCCTATCAGTACAGTACAGTACATATATATTGGAGATTGCTATTAGTTCATATCCTTTCAGTTTGTGGTGTTCTTTGAAAGTTTTGAACAGCGCTGTGACTGAGCAGTCACCGAGATCCTTCTTTATTTTCCTCTTCATCATTGAAAAATTTATTACTTCAGCTAGTTCTGCTTTCTCTTCTAAGTACTATTTAACATCATCTGAGCTTGGTTCAAATTTCTCTTTTTGTTGGTTGATGAATTATTTACAATTCATCTAGTGTCACAGGCAGTTGCAACAGTGGGTCAGCCCCTTGTTGAATTATACCTGTTTTCTCAAATTTCTCTTTTTGTTGCTTGATGAATTAATTACAATTCATCTAGTGTCACAGGCAGTTGCAACAGTGGGTCAGCCCCTTGTTGAATTATACCTGTTTTCTCAAATTTCTCTTTTTGTTGCTTGATGAATTATTTACAATTCATCTAGTGTCACAGGCAGTTGCAACAGTGGGTCAGCCCCTTGTTGAATTATACATGTTTTCTCAAATTTCTCTTTTTGTTGCTTGATGAATTATTTACAATTCATCTAGTGTCACAGGAAGTTGCAACGGTCGGTCAGCCCCTTGTTGAATTACACCTGTTTTCTCATAGCTGGATCATATACCTCTGAAAGAAAGTGTTACATTTTTCTAAATTAATTTCTAAGACATTCATTATTTGGTCCTTGAACCTCATATGATAAAACACACACAGGATATTTTTTTCATAATTTATGCAAGTTTCCAAAATTATTTTGGTCTACTGAGTTACATTGCTGATGGAAACTGTCCCATATTTGCCTACTTCTCTCTTATTTTGCCAGAATTCTTAGATAGCTTTATTGAATCCTTGGATATGTCATTTCACTAATACCATGTGATGAAATCAAAGAAAAAAGGTTGCCCTCCAGAACACCTTCAAATGTGTGTGGCAAAGATAGTTTCTACAATTAAGGACAAATATCTCTTTATGTACTTGGTAAGTTGGTACATTATAGATAAGGTTAATATAGAAGATTATACTTGATTCACGAGCTTGCAATAGTTATATTCCAGCAGTGATTTCATTCTTGAAATGAGGAAGGGTTTGTGCCTGAAGACTAATGAAAACATACCGAGAAAGTTGGAGGATGAGTTCAACCTTGTATTTATCGTAAATGTAGCTCCTTGTACAATTATAATCAAACACAAGTCATGGAAAAATTCCCATTATTCAATAGTTCAGATCTTTCATCATTAAGATGAATTTATAGAATAGAGAAGCTGTCAATTGGTGAAAAATGTTAAATACACAACTACAGGAGTGATCAACAGAAAAAGCAGCTTTTCCTGAGGAAGATCAGCCTGTTCCAGTATACTGAAGAAATGTTATTAAAAACATAAAATGCTACTTCTTGTTCATAACAATAAAGAACAACTTCCAGTAATGGCAGCTTACAGTTTGAATCAGTATCAGAGCTGGATGTGAATCTGCCGACAAAAACTCGTATTAAATGGTTCATAAGTTGGAGTTTCTGGAACCTGGTACACATGTCAGTAAATGGACAGTCATCAGGACGATTTTATATAATAGTCTGTATTGAATGCTGTCTTAGCTAGACAGTGAGAGAAGAGATCTTGATGAAGTCACAATTAAATTCTCCTTAAGCTCATCAAATTGTGCCAAAAAAGAAAATGGTGCTTGAGTAGTACACAAGGTATTATAGATCCACCAATCATAAACAAAAGAACTTACAAAATTTCATGCCAAGAATAAGAAGTATCCACTGTTGAAGTTGGGGGTACATTTATATGCAGAGTAAAAACATGTAGCAGTTTATCAAATTTGTCATCAACTTTAAAACAGTTGTACATGTTTGCTTAGCATCAGCTTGAATATACTCAAGACATCACAGAATACATTTTTTTGTATACATCACTTAGAGAAAGCAGCTCTTGTGAGATGTGCATGTTCCAACTGGGTGATTCTCAAAACATTTTGCTTGTAACCCAACTTCAGACATCCTAAGTGATTTGGAGAAGCCAGATGACCTTCAACTTTAAAATATATGCCAAACATACAATTCTTATTGACAGTATGCTATCATTAATGATTAAACAACAGTTAATAAAGATTTTGTTTAACACTGTAAAATATTTTTCTACATTATGAGAAACAGAACAATGTTATAAAAGTTTTATATATGCTTTATTGTATTTGATGACTATAACTCAATGAAAGACACTATAGAACTAAGAAGTAACAATTTACAAGTGAATGTGAAAGACGATAAAACAATATTTTAGTACGTTTTTGAGATTTGGTTTGGTTTCTTGTGAATTTCGTGCACAGCTACACGAGTGCTATCTGTGCTAGCAGTCCCTAATTTAGCTGTGAAAGACTAAAGGGAAGGGACTAGTCAACACCACCCACTGCCAACTCTTGGGCTACTCTTTTACCAATGAATAGTTGGATTGACCGTCACATTATAACACCCCCACGGCTGAAAGGGCAAGCATGTTTGGTGGGATGGGGATTTAAACCCGCAACCCTTAGATTACAAGTCAAGCATGCTAAACCACCTAGCCATGCCAGGCCACTTCTGGGAGAAATCAGTAGTAATATACTTTTATGTTTGATTCACAATGTAAAAACATTCAGATTGCATTGGGTATTGTTAAAACAAATATATGAGTACTATACTGCAGCATAAACTAAATGCAACATCAACAGCTTACCCAAAACAAGTAATTAGTAATTACAATGTCACACAAAATTACATGAATTTGAATGGTTTAGTTGGAAACTTCATCCCTCAGAGAATATTTTTAAATCATTATCATATTTTATTCATCCCACAAAACAAAAATTCAGTTTACTAGATAGTAATACTATGTATATCAAACTGTTTGTTGACACGATATTAAGGAATATAGTTCTGTAAGAAATCAACAACTAATGAAAATGTCAAGTAAATCTGGCAGAATGAAGAATACATATCTAGAGCATTTTTCAATAACAACTTTTCTTTCAACACTCAGATATTTTGCATGAAAATTTACTATGAACTAAGCATAATAAGCACTGAGAATTAAAACTGAAAAAAGTTAAGAATATCCAGTTTTGTTTTAACTATATCAAATCTAACCAATACATACAAGCAGTCTTTTTTTTTCTGATATTTACATGTTGGTCATTATACCATTTGAAGATAATTCTATTCCAACAAGGCTTTGTGTAAGAGTTAGAAACATGCAGGCACCGTGTTGCTAATATCATTAGAAACATGTACTCAGTCACATGCTAACTAAGCAATATTATGGCACTTACTGTAATGACCCAAATCAAACACCTTTGGGTAAGATAAAATAAACTCATACCTGGGATGCCCTGAGTAGGTGACTGTGAATGTCAAAGTCATCTAAAAGAATTGTTTTACCCACACGATGAACCATCATACTGATAGGAGATTTGCTGTATGGAATCTTTAAGAGCTTCTTAATATTCTGTAAATAAGAAAAAAATGTTACTAAAGTGAAAATACTATAACATATTGTCAATCAATGCTTTCTAAAAGTAAGAAAAGACAGTCTAAAATACTATTCACATCTTAAATCCATATTCAATGGTTAACCAGCAGTCTGGGATTTTCAATAATTGAAATGAGATACCAACATGCTGTGAAAGGTTTTTACAGAGTTTTTCAGGTTTGCCTCTAGAGTGTGATTTCAAATAATATACAATATACCCACATGCTGTGAAACATTCTTACAGTTTCTTAGGTTTACCATCAACCTGTTATTTCAAAACATACCAGCATGCTATGAAAAGTTGTTTCAGGTTCTTAAGTTTATCATCAGTCTGTTATTTAAAATATACAATATATATCAGAACATTGTGAAAGGTTCAGAGTTTCTTAGATTTACAATTTATCTGAGATTTAAAATATACCAGTATACTGGAAAGGTTTTTACAGAGTTTCTTAGGTTTTACCACAAGTTTGTGATGTAAAATATACCAACATGCTGTAAAAGATTCTTACAGTTTCTTAGGTTTACCACAAATCACTGTCTTTGATGGACTGTGTAGAATTATAAACTTGATGGTACATGTAGAATTATAAACTTGATGAACTATGTAGAAGTATAAACTTGAACTGTGTACTAAACTTTACATATTATATAGGCTACACTAATGTGACGTTTAGGTGGTTCGTTTAACTATTATACCCGATGAACTTTTTTTTGGGGGGTGACATAAATTTCTTGATGACCTAATATTTTTTTCTAAATTTAAGCTTGTATGCACAAATGGCATAGCTTTTTGTGACAATCCAGATTTAAATAAGATTTTTGTAAATAAAAATGGGACTGGTAAGTAATGATGTTAGTAAGTGATCATAAAAAGGTCATTTTACCAATATTTTTCAGAGTATCCTGCCATTATCTATTTTAAGCACAATTTTTGATTGTAACTTCAGTTTAATGTATATTAATTTAAAGAAGCTTTGCAAATAGAATTGTAAAAGTTTTAACATATTCTAACAAATGTTATAAAAGTTGGAGTTTAGCTCCTACAGAATTTTGGTAATAACAGTTACGTAAAGCAGCAATTAGTATATACAGAGAAGAAACATAAACCAAATACCTCAGCATCTGAGATCACATCAACCTCTGAAACACAGTCTGTAAAGTTGTTAGCCATTTGAAAGCTATAAAAGATAAGAGAAAAATTTTTTTTATGTAGAATCTCAAAAACCAATAAAATCAAGTATTTTCAGCTTGAAGAGAAAAAGAGTCTACATTTATATTATCTTCTCTAAGCCTTCCTTCTGAACATCCTAACTTTTTTTATATTGAAAAACAGTGTTTTCAAATTCTCTTCAACAAATACACGAGATTAAAGGAATACAGTAAAATTTATCATCACTATTTTAGTTTAGTTTTACAAAAATAGAAATTTAATATGTTTATAGAGTACAAGTTTGATTCCATTATCTTGAAAACATTCTTGTGAATTAGTATTATGGTAGGTTAACTTTTTTCTTTAATGTCTCGCAATGTAAAATCCTAACTAACAGTAACTATCAGCGACTTTAAAAAGATGGCCTCTATGATACTTAATTTATGAGAAATAACCATAACAGCTTACAAAAATCTCAACCCATTATCGTTATCAGAAATAACCATGGCAGTTGACAAACATTAAATGTGGATCCATCATCATCATTTTTTCTCATCACTATAGTATACATGTAGAGATAAATAGCCCCCAAAACGGAAAATAACTGTGAAAGACATAAACTTTTTCTTATTTAAACCATAATCTCTCTCAATTTCTAAGCATGTAAGAATAGACAAGGTCTATTTTTTCTCTATTACACTTGTACAGAGACTGTGGTAAGAGGGGGCCTGCTGGGGCTTAATTTACCCAAAATGTTCCTTAACCTTTCCTATAGCCCCCTGGACCCAACAAACAATGCTTATTGTTTAAGATGATTCCCTTCCTAAGTACTACAATATGTGTGTTCACGAGATGTAGAGTCTTCTCAAATTTTATCGAGACCACACCTCATTCCCTAATATGAAAAAAATCTGACACCAGCTCTGCACTTGCCATTAAGTAAAACAGCCATGGATATTAAAACTACCTTGAAAATACATTAGACTATGTTGTTTTTGGAAATGTTAACTGGTTATCATGGAACTCAGTACCACTTCTCAATTATTTTTACCTTGAAAAGATAGCAGAATGTGTTGTTATATTATTTCTGAAAATGTCCATTAACTCTTTGACTACAAGCTGGGTTCACTGCCCCCAGCCTGTAACCACCAAAGTAACCACAAGAGTAGTCATACTATAACTTTTGATAATGTACCCATCTTCATGAAATTTCACAGATTATTGGTAAATGTTACAAGACTTTCAACACAAGATATAAAGTTTTTTAATTAAGTATTAAGATCTTTTAATTAAAAATCAGTTAGTGAATTTTTTCTTTTAGAATGTTGATTATAAAACCCAACATGCAAAGTAATTTTGATTTTAAAATCAAAAAATACTTTTCTTCCTCCAACAATTGTCAAAATTTATTTGCAAAATCTCTATAACCCCCCTAGATAACTATCAAACATTTTTTAAAGAAATACTTTATATTTTATGTTATTTTCTCTACTTTAATTCTATACAGGGTTGATTAATTTAACTGACCTTTTAACCACCATACAAAATGAAGAAATAAATCTAAAATCTAGAATGACTGCAAATTGTAACAGGAATCCACAAATGCTTATTATAAACAGCTTAAAATCTTGTAACAGTATACATGTATTTATATTTATTAACTTTGTTTTGTTGATCTTTGAACCGTGTCTGACTAATAATAATATCACCACACAAGTTGCAAGTCATGCGGCACACATGCAGCTCACATTACTGTATCCAATAACATAAAATTGCCGTTTACAAAGTACAAATGTCTTATTCTTCTCAGTCCTAGCATGCCAGTATTTTGTAAAATACAACCCCATTTTGGTTACCATACATTACACACATATATATATATATATATATTATTACTATTTGCAAATATATTTTTAAATTTCAATTACTTTTCTTAAATCCTAGAATAGTAAATAAAAAATATATGGAAAACAATGATCTCTATTACTACTCACGATGTTATGAAGTTTGTGTACTCATGGTTCATACTTTTTAAGCTTTGTCAAACTTCATACATGCAAGATGAAAAAATGATAATTTTTTAGGTTTTATACATGCATTTTGCAATAACAAAAATTACAAATTAAAATTTATAATTACAATTATAAATTATAAAATATCGATACTACAAAATTCTAGTGCAAGTTATCAGATTTCATATCTAAGCTGTATTTAGGTCTCAAAAATCTCATTTCTGATCTGCATATAACTTTCATTACCACTCTTTAAATTGTGCAATGCTAATGACAGATTTACCTGCTTAAATACTTTAGGAAAAACTGAAAGAATTATGTAGTTCCAAACGAACTCTTTCAATTGGTTATAAACATGGAATTCATAGAAGTGGGTGTACGTAAACAAGTATTTTCAAAAGAAGGAAAGGTGGGAGGAGTCACTGTGGTGGGTTCACTAAACATAATGATATCTCAGCAAACAGAAAAGGTAGGAGGTTCTTATTTTATATTATAGCTTGAAAATATTGGTAATTTGAGTTTCTATTTAATATTTACTTTTATATTAAGAAATTAAATAATGTATAGTACTAAAAGTTGATGCCAAAATTATTGGCATACATTCATAAAATAGTAGTTGAATAAAATTTTGAATGCAAGTCTACAAGTGTAATGACATGCCCTCTGACCCATACCTATATGGAAAAGGTTAATTATCATGCAACTTGGTGCTGCTTCTCAATTAAAAATATATTGAAAAGATAGTAGAATATATCTTTGGAAACATCATTAATTACCATGTAGCATGGTACTGCCACTCAATTAAACCTACCTTGAAAAGATAGTAGAATATATCTTTGGAAACATCATTAATTACCATGTAGCATGGTACTGCCACTCAATTAAACCTACCTTGAAAAGATAGTAGAATGTGTTGTTTTGGGAAATGTCCATTGATTACCATGCAATTTGGTACTGGCTCTAAGCCAGTTAGCTGGAGGTTGATTTAAGTTAGTGTTGCTGCTCAACCGGAGGAAACCGTATGGTGCTTCAACTGATGTGTACTTGACCACTGCCAGAGATTTAACATCCGTACTCACTGGATAGGTAGATTTTAACTGAAAATATTAAAATTATGCATCTGCTAGTTCATATAATGTATGATACGGTGAAATGTAGCAATAAAAAGAAATAATTATACTCAAATTTTACATGAACAAAGAAATATTAATATTCTAAGTTATACACAGATTTTGACAATATGTATCACAACAGAAAAGGAATTTTTGTGGGTAACTTCAATGTACTTTAAAAAAAAAAGGTAATTTTTGATGTTATAAAATAATTACAAAGTATTTGGTATTGCTCGGATTAGGAAAAGAAACAGAAAACCAGTCACTGACAAAATATGAGGTATGCTTACAATATGTTATACCTAAATGCATTAATACATAATGCTTATCTCTGAACACAGTTTAAAAAAGAAAATTAAAAACATATTTTACTATAATGTTATTGGTTGTTTCATATACAAAGAAAATGGTTAAGCAATTGTTTTCATGGAATATCTGGTACTCTTTGAAATGCACAAACCTGTGTGACCTTTGTCTTGCAGGGAGATGTGTAAACGTTTGAACAAATCTTTGTCAGAGAGATATCAAAGGTTTACAACTTCTTGCCACCCTTTGATATCACTCTGACAAAGATTTGTTCAAACGTTTACACATCTCCCTGCAAGACAAAGGTCACACAGGTTTTGGAAGGTTTGTGTGATGCGTATGCCTACAGGCACTGTGTATCAGTTTTGCATGCCAGAAATTAGAAGTGCAAGCACATGAATTCATAATGATAGTTCCATGTATGTGGGATTTTGCCCATTCAGAGTACACCATTATTTTGAAAGTTAGCATTTTCCTTACCTGAAAATGTATTTCCAATAGATACTCACCTATTCACACAGAATAGCTTGATCCCTCATGCATCTGCCTACAAGCATGATACTAGCCTTGAGCTAAGTCCCACCTAAAAATCACGTTTAACACGAACTGCACTAGTGCATGATGACACCATTATGTGATGACAGCCCTTCATCAATAGGAGGGTGACAAAACCTCCTTATGCAATAACCCCCCTTTAGTACTTGTGCTCGATATAACTTCAATCTTTGACAAACAAGAAAGTGCATCAGAAGTGGGAAGGACAGATGAGTATTTATTAGAAATACATTTTCAGGTAAGGAAAATGTTAACTTCCAAGACAATACCTCACTTCCACACACAGAATAGCCAGAATCCCACACTGAAATGGTGGAGAGGCCAGTGCAAACATTAAACCTAGATGAGGTTCCTTCACAAAGTGCCCAAAGGGAAAACACATGAAGTGTAATGGCAGGGGCTTCATAGAGGCACACACATGGGTGACCACATCTCACCTTCAACAGGGTATACTCTTTGCTTGGAAGAAAACAGAGGAAATAAGCAAAAGAGCCCCAAGTATTTTAGGATGGGTGGATTTTCATCATGACCAACCAAACATCTGCACATAAGTATTCAGCAAGCCAAGAAGTATATTGTGTTAGGATGCAATCAGACTGTATGGTGTGTGTCTTAACTCAACTGAACAGACAGATTCTTGCTGCAGGAGGAAACCACACAAGCTATCTGACCTACTTCCCACCAGTGCTGTGCATAATCATTGAGGAACTTTCCAAGGCCCACCACCCTAGTGGCTAGGAACTGTCAAGTGTCTTCCATGGGAAGGAGATTTTGCATTGGGGAGACCCAAAGAAGTGCTAAGATCCCCATTGGACACCTGTTAGAAAGGCCTTTTACTGGAGACAGCAAACACAGCAAGAGCAAGGCAAAGAAATGGGCAGTTACTTCTCTGGTACTCTATTTCAGAATCTTATGCAATTTTCCAAATTATGCATAGGAGTGTGTGTTGCCTTTCACACACAGAAAACCCATCTTGCACAGTAATGACTATATTTTATATGCTAGTTACACATGATCAAGAAGTGCAAGATATTTTCAGGATTTCTCCAAGGTATTGTTGGTGACCTAATTTTTATATTGTGTATTCTGTTTCTATATACAGTAACATTGCCATGTCTAAGTTTAGAAATGTCTACAGACTGTGTCCTCTTCATTTTCTCCAATAGAATGACCAATGAGATGGATAGTGTCTTCACTCTGAGAGGGATGATGTTATTGCTTTTGTGTATATTATTACTTTTCTACAAGTGGCATTATGAACTAAGCAGATGCTGCCCATTTCACTTTGTTTGTTCATCGTGAATACTCTGTTTAAATCATTTGTAAAAGAAAATCTTAATAGTTGTTTAAAAATAATATTATGGTATAATTAGAGACTGCTCCAGCTTGTGGAGATTTTAGTAAGTTCTGATTATTATTTGACAGTTGTTTCCCCCAGGATGTAAAACTTATTGGTTGTGTCCACAGCTAATAAAACTGATACCTCTTAAGTGTTCCAGTTCCAGACAAAAATGTTTGCTGTCCCCCATAGCCAAGTTCCAGAACAAAAATGTTTGCTGTCCCCCATAGCCTAGATTTACAAACATGTCCAAAATCATACATATGGTCACATCTAATGTAGCGGTGCATTTTTGCTTGTACTTTATATCGATTATTTACATAACAGAAATTTTAAGTTTTTCATTTTTTTATTATAAAGATTATTCATATTATTAGCTTAGTTTATGGATTTACAATTAAGCTAGACACAGTTGGTTAGAATACTTAATATAACTTACTTTTATTTTGTATTATTTCTAATTTAATTTTATGTTTATTATTTAATTATAACTATTCTACATTGGAAGCTTAGTATATAGATTTAGGACTATCCTAAGCCTCCTGGGCTGGCAAACCTTATGAGATATTAGTGGGTTTATGGCCTAAAGTATATTTAAAAGCATCAATACCTAACTACAAAACAATACATTCTAAACATTATAAGTAACATAGTGCAAATGTTATATTTAATTAATTATGCTCATTACTAGGTGTATATTTTTAATTAGGATTTATGTATGACCGCAGTTTTCGATTGGTCATGGTGTGTTTGATAACTACTATCAGCTTATGTCTTCATTTTACAATTCACTCTACCAAGATTTGAAAATGTGAGTTCTAACCTTAACTGGAAAGTTGAATACATTTGCGTCTCAAACTCTTTTTTTTTGGAAAGAAAGAGTATAAATGTACATGTACCTTGAATTAACTTTTTACACATCATTCACAAGAACCAGCAGAACATTAAGCTAGCCATTTCATAAACAAGTGTTAGGTAGGTAGATCTGAGTTAATAAAACATATGAACTATATAATAAAAGAAAATGGACCAGAAATATGTTATGTTTTTCATTTTTAAAATTAGATGTTTCATTCATTCTAAAAAGTTTTTACTTTGTATTATTATTAGTAGTATCCATAAAGGAGAGTCACTATTCACTATTTAGATGTATTTTGAAACACAAGGTATTAACTGTGAATTGTTATTAATTATGTAAACGTAAGTTAAATTCCATGTGATATTCTTGATGCGTGTTTGTTTACTTACTAAAAAAAAAAAAGAGTTATTTATACTTTTACAAGTGTAAAAAATGTTTAAATAAAAAAATTAGGAACTGAAAGTACCAAAAAAATAAAAAAAACTAGGTAGGAATGAGTAGGATAACATTACAACATTTGGTGGTTTTTGACACAGTATAACCTCCAAGTGAGTGTGACCATCATTCTGCCCATTACTACTTTGTGTGCTTTTTGTAACTTTGTAATTGTTCAAGCTAAATGAAAGGTATATATAACTAGATTTCTCTGTTGTAAACTTTGTTTCAGGAAACTAGTACAGATACATGTATGTAACCAAATAACGTGACCCTAACAAAATGCACGACACCATAAGGGGTTGTTTGATGTCAAAAATCAGAAAGGAAGTTCCAATACTTAATACATTATAACTATCTGACTGGTAAGAACAACATAATAGTATCAAAATTGTTGATTTTTGAAATTTCTAAATTTGTTGAGTATTTAGAAAGGAATAGCTAGTGATAAAACTCAATTCAAGTCTATAATTGGATCAAAGTTCAAAGTAAAACGTGAAGTAGGAATGAGCGGAACAATGGCTACACCCACTTTGAGGTTGCACTATGTCAAAAACCACCAAGTATTGTAATATTATCCCACCCATTCCTACCTTGTTTCCTCACTTTTTGGTGCTCCCATTCCTACTTCCTATCTTTTTTTTTATGTTATTCCACCCATACCTACCTAGTCTCTTCACTTTTTGGTGCTCCCATTCCTACTTCCTAATATATTTTATTTTTTATACTTGTCTCATAGCTTTTTTTGGTACTAAGTCTCAAGAGTGACTGGGCTCTATGCCTTTCCTTCTTGTAGCTTTTCTTAGATCTATCTCTCGACATGTCCTGGCTTTTGCTGATATCTTTGCTATAGTTTTCTTCCACCTAGCCAGGGTGACATCCTTTTCTTTGCCCGGATTAATGGCTAAGGCTTGTTTTGCATGTTCAGCATTACTGTTTCTAACCTTACCTCTATTCTTGCAACAATGTTCTCTGCACTGGGACAAAGACTTTTCAAGGTTACCAACACAAGATTTTCTCCTTTTCTCTTGTTTTGTTTCCTTGAAAGGCATATTTTAAAAATTGCACTGTTTCAAGTACAACCTTAGATGTCAACAGGTCACATTTAGTTTGCAAACAATGCAAAGGTAAATTATACAACTCATTGTTCTTGTTTTAAATTCAGAGCATTTGAGCAAAGCCATGTTAGACTTCAGCAGTGGTAGCGTTTGACCTCATGCAGGAGACTCATGCCTCAGGTACCAACTGCTATGACAGAATTGCTTTGTCCAACACAGAACCCTCGAGTGAGATGTATGGAACTGAAAACTTTGCTTTCAAAGGTTAGATCATAGTTAGAACTTAGATCTAGAAAATCTACATAGTCCACGTTTTTTTATCTAGCTGATACAGCTGCAGGCTGATTACACAGAATGTGTGCATAAGCAATCATGCACCCACATGTGACATAAGGGTGGGTTATTACTTGGCAACTCGCAGATCATGCTCGTAATCATAGAATATGCAAAGTGGTTATTGTTATTACCAAGGTTATAAGTAAAACTAAGAAAAATAGTTTTAGCCAAGGTAATGTAATTCAATCATGTGCATTTAGATTTACATAAGGTGAAGGCAGGAGAGGGCTACGCTTTTCCAAAACTGTTAGTCAGATTAACAAATTTGTGGTTTTGTGAAATTGTGTGTTTACCGGCTTTTTCAAATGCATTGGTGGCTTGTCACTCTGAAGTTGGTGTGTATACTACTCAGCAGTGTGTGTAAAGTGCTTATAAAGTTTTGTTTACATGCTGTTTCAGGGTGTTTGATATATTAATTTGTATTGCACATACTGCACATCTGGCCCATTTCTATTATAAGTACTACCATACTTATATTTTTGTAATTTTACAATTACAACTTAACACATTAACATTATTTACGTTATGTAGAAAAATATATAATTGATATTTTAATTCATTTTGGGAGAAAAAAGCTTTTATTATTATTAATGTATTAATTTTGTTTACCTGTTCACCATCCTTATGTTCCTCTTGGTTTGATTGATCAACTAGATCTACAAGGTGCTTCATCCCATCATCATGATACATACAACTTACAGAGCTTCTCTTTTCATTGTTCTCTGTTCTTTTTTCATCACTAACACACAATTTCACTGCAATATCAGCTTCATTACTGACTTCTTGACCACAATTCATACTGTTGTGTTTTGTTGTTACTGACCAAAACAAGTCTGCTATCTGGGTGATACCAATGTAAAAATAAAATCTTAGCAGCAATAATTATTAGAGTATACAATGTATACTCACTTCAAAAATTCACAAAAATCTGCATACAGATATATTTCCTAAGACTTTTATATCAACCATTACAAAACTACATAGTAAAACTAACTAACCACACATTCAAATCCAAGAGTTTAGTCTTAAAGCAATGTTCTTATTCCAGCTAGTAAAATATTTTATTGTTGACTAAAACTGACATGTTTATAACATCCACATACAGCAAAATTTTGATTAAATAAGAACCAAAGAAATAAACTAATGTTTACTTATCAATTTTGGCACAAACTTCTGTAGTCCTTTTAATATTTTGGATTAAAATATTACATGATACATGACTGTGTGAGATATGTGGCCATCTCATGTCTTTCTACCTACTTTAGTGATACAGAAACTTTTAAAAGTTTTTATTTATTTACTTTTCACTGAGGTCCAGGAGGTCATTGAGATTGCATTGAGTTAGTTGTTTTGTTCTGTATAATAGATAAAATCTATTCTGCCCAAAAGGATATTGCAATAACATGTAACATCTGGGTTGAAATGACTGAAACTGTAATATCTTTTGCTGGCTGAATTGACATTGTCTAAATAGAACAGCCAACCAATACTATGAGAGAACAAAAGTCACAAGGTGATGCTGTCATCTGGAAAAAAATGTGATTAAATTCTACAGAGATTGATCCTGAGGGAAGAAAGCTGTGGACTGTGATTCTGTCTGCACAAGTACCCACACTGTATTTTCTGTGTTTGTCACAATAAAGAGATTGTTCATTTAATTAAATTTGTCTAAGTCTCATTATTTCACATTTTCAGGCTATCAAGCACAAAATACTTCCCTTACTTCTTGGTTAAATCTACTGGATTATCTGTCTGATACTTGTCAGGATATCAGTTTTACCTGAGAATACCAGTTAAGCAATAAAAATATTATATTCAACTGCTTTTAAAAAATTTTCATGCTTTTGTTTCATAACAAAGAATAAATTCAAATGAAAAATAAAGTCAACTTAATTACTTTGTTAAAACTATTTAAAAATATGTAGTAATATAATATACACATTCTTTACTGGAAATTTGTAATTAACTAGTATTGTACAAAATGCACTGGACCAGTATCCACCAAACTTGGCATGTACCGCAGGATCCTTTAGGATTGACATAGGGAGATAAGCATTTGGATCTGACCCCCCTACCCTATGTCTTCCCCATTTATTGAATAGGTACATCAACTAGTATAATATAATGCTCCTCTAAATTTTTCAAAACATTTACATCTACACTGACATACTTTATAATAGTTGTTTATTGTGGCCAAAATAATTTATTACATGGAAAATCCATAGAATCATCTGATCATCATTTTTTTTAATTCATTCACACATGTAGACAGTAGATCATCACTTAATGCACTGTTTTTTTTTTTCTCTGTATTAATCAACTTTCATTATTACATTATACAAATGTGATCTAGTAATGGAGTTAATAGTCCTTGTCTTGAGTGAATGTTTATTTCCATAATGAATTCAAGTTTCCAGACTAACAGATTAAAACCTTACCAATGAAAGTTGTGATCTAGTAATGGAGTTAATAGTCCTTGTCTTGAGTGAATGTTTACTTCCATAATTAATTCAAGTTTCCAGACTAACAGATTAAAACCTTACCAATGAAAGTTGTGATCTAGTAATGGAGTTAATAGTCCTTGTCTTGAGTGAATGTTTACTTCCATAATTAATTCAAGTTTCCAGACTAACAGATTAAAACCTTACCAATGAAAGTTGTGATCTAGTAATGGAGTTAATAGTTCTTGTCTTGAGTGAATGTTTCCTTCCATAATCAATTCAAGTTTCCAGACTAACAGATTAAAAAGTTATCAAAAGTAAATTGAATTCTATTCTTTCTGTCTACTAAATATAAAAACCTCACTAATTTGTATTGCTATAAATTTACCATAAGATCTCTATTTATAAGAAAATTGTCTATACATATGATAATATACAAAATCACATACAGTAACATAAAATTATTTTATACTAAAACACATTACAAAAGCTATAATACTATTTAGTAATCTTAAAACACAAATCAAAAGTTATTCTATGTGGACCCAATAAATATTACCGTATTATAGAAATATTTCTTGCATTATAAATGAGGAATCTCCTGAAGTGGTTTCAGATGATGATCTGTCCCAAAGGTCTAAAACACTGGGGAAGAAGTACTCTGTACCTTGTTTTCAAACCCTTGATATATCCAGTCTGCATATACAACAAAATCAAAAAAACAACACAGTGGATCCAACAGTCAGAACTCCTTACTCTTTCCTTTTATACTTATAAAAAAGAATGCAGAGTTTCTAGTGGGTGATCCAAGTCACTTCATCAAAGCAAAGCTATTTCATCTTGTATCAATAAAATTTTGCATTACAAAACAAGTACACTTTCCTCAACTGTTGATAAGGTGCCACACAAAAGATTAGCTAAAAAAATTCATTGTGTCCCCTTGTCCTACCATTCTCACTTGAAAGTACGAATGAAAAAGATGATGCATCAACACTACCAATTTTGTTAACAATCTTAAGCATCTCAATCAGTTCTAATTATTCTTTCTTCAAGAGAAAACAATTTTAGGAATCTTAACCTGTCCTTATATGACAACCTTTCCATCCCAGATAACATCCTATATACCATCATTTAAGGCCTCTCCAACAGTTCAATGCTCTTCCTAATGTAAAGAGACCAATACTGAACAAAGTATACCATATGAGGCATAACAGTGATTCTACAAAGAAATCACAACCTCTTCAGACTTACATTCAATGTTTCTGTAAATACAATCTAAAATCCTATTTAACTTATTACTTGCAACATCATGTTCCTCGATTGGCTTAAAAGACTGATCAACCAAAACACCAAGATCCTTTACGTCTAAAACAATGTTAAGATTATTCCCATCAAATTTTATATGTTTTAGAATTAATATGAATTTCAAACAGGTATGTCCCTCTTAAATATTAAAAGCCTTTCCTTGTTGAGATTGAACTCACACTGTCAACAAAACATGTGACTCATCCATAAGAGATCCATAATTCTCCACTCTCCCATCTTCCACATAATTTAGTGCACAAGCATCAGAGGATGTTATACAGGTTCTGCTTACCTGAGAATCAAGCATGATGTTAATGTTAGGGTAAAAAAAGTAAGAGATAGAGTATAAAATGTTATGTTAAAAAAAATTAATTTTTCATTTATAGTGTTCTACAGTTTATGCAAATCAAGTATAAAAAACTATAAGATGAAAAGAAATATTTTTATTCTTATGATAAAAACCTTTCATTCAGACTGACTCAGTAAAGGTTTTGAAAGTTCACAGACAAATCTTTAGTTGATTGAAATACGTTATTAGAAAATCTGTTTTTTGTATGTACAAAAGACTTGTTTACAAAAAGGTTGTATTTCCCACAAGTCCAGCTGACCATGAAGTCAACTTCAACTCTGGAAATGTATTTCTTTGATAAGGTATGTAGTACTCTCACTTTTTCTCTGAGTGGAACACACTGAACAGTGTTCACACCAGCACTGAATGTCTTGGCTCTAATAAGGCCAAAAGAACTGCCATTGAACAATAACACAAGTAAGTTTAACACCTTCAGGAGCTGTGAATTACAGGTTCTATTCCCTTCTGCAACTTTGATAACACTGCTCCAATTCCACTGTCACTGAGGCTTCTCCTACAGCACACTTGAGGGAATGGAATGCTTGCTCGCATTCCTCAATCCATCTGAAATGAATCTTTTTTTTTTAGTGAGAGCTGATAATAGTGAGGCAATCTTGGAGAAATTGGCCACAAACTGTTTGTTATGTAACATAAAATTAAGGAAACTGGAGACTTTTCATTTGGACACAGGATAAGGACAATTTCACACTGCTGCTATTATAGAAGGATTTTGAAGATTCCTTCTCTACCCACGCTATGACCGAGCAACTTCACTTCTGTGTACACGAATGCACATTCTCCTGGTTTCAGTTTCAAGCCTGCTTCTTTTATGTAACAGAATACCATTTTTAGGTTCTCAGCCACAAAACTGAATGTGTGACCAAACACTGACATTATCCATATAGATCAGGCACTTCTCCCATTGCAGCACCTTCAGTCTAAGCTCAAATCCTCTCAAAAGTGGCATCACACAGTGTGTGTGTGTGTTACACAGACTGAATGAAATGCCACGAAATCTGTACAAAGTATCACTCATGCTGAAGGCAGTCTTAGGTCTGTACTCATCATCCAGATGCCACATATAAACGAGACCTTTCCAATGCATCCATCTATTCATGTTAATGAAAAGGCATCAACATGAGTTACTGTATTCATCCATCTAAAAATCTATGTAGAACCTGAGAATACCTTCTTTCTTCCTGATAATGACAAAGCATTCTCTAAAGATTGTATAATCCCATCCTTTAACATCTGCTGTAATTCAACACTGGCTACTTCCCTAATGCTCCAGGATGTTTAATCAGACATGTAACAATTGATTTATTTGTTATGTGACTGTTGTTTGACCCATTTGGTCATCTGGCCTGATAAATGCATCTGCATATTCCACCAACTTGTAACTGATTTACAGTATTAAATCTAGATGGCTTTGCAATCCTCAAATGTGTTGGTAACCATGTATTTGCTTCTGGATGCAGTACAACTGACACAACACTACCAACAATTACTTTCACTTTTTTTTTTTTACCATGTCAATGACTATTTCAACTTGCAGCTGGATTACCAAGAGTCCATAACTGCAGAACAACACCAGGATTTCATAACCACCTTGACAGATAACTGGCCAAGCTAATACTGCTTGCTTTCTGGCCAGGAAACAACCTATTTCATGCTTGGGCTGTATAACTGTAACAGTTATACTGATGCACTAGACAATGTTTGTAGTAAATCATAGAAAAATCATG